TTAATTATTACAGTAGAAATGAAAATCTTTTATTAAAAACTAGCCAGCTACAGATCAAAAAGCAATGGTTCTACAACTGATAGTTGATAGACAAGCAGCAACAAGCAGTAACTATAAGACTGAGTGGTAACTGATATACTAGCTGTAACTAACAATAATTATAGGACAGTAGGACTGTATAGTGGTGAATAGTTGATAGACTAGTATTGACTAACAATAATTATAGAACAGTAGGACTGTATAGTGGTGAATAGTTGATAGACTAGTATTGACTAACAATAATTATAGGACAGTAGGACTGTAGAGTGGTGACGAGTTAATAGACTAGCATTGACTAACACTAATTATAGGACTGTAGAGTGGTGACTAGTTGATAGACTATCATTGACTAACAATAATTATATAGGAAAGTAGAGTGGTGATTAGTTGATAGACAAGCAGTAACTAGCAATAACTATAGGACACAGTGCCGAGATAACTATGAATACTTACAATTCATTGACAACCCAGTTGAATGTTGGCCATGTTTCATATTCAGCACTAGATATATGGTCTTCAAATGCCTGTACTAATGCCACTAATAGATTCTTGTCACCAACAATAATGGATATGTCTAACAATGTAGAAGCTGGCTTTGGAAACCTAGTAACTGATTATTGAATAACAATGCATTACTGTATTGTATTATTACAGTCAATGTATTGTGATTAAATACAATAGGAATGTGGTGAACACATCTTTACAAATCAAACATAGTTTGAGGCACAAACACATCTGGACCACTTCTACCTACATCTGAATATAAGGTTGATCAACAAAGCTTCATAAAAATTCTTGAAATTGCTGATACTTTCTCTTACATACAAGGTCATATGTGGGAAAAAAAACAGGAGGTTATGAACCAAACTTTAGAGATAACTGTGTTTACAAAGTTAATACATGGAAAAAGTAAAATATGACTATTCAATTATTAAAAGTTATACTATTTTTTGAAACTCAAAATAATTAAAAAACAGTGTCATGGACCTATTTATAAATTCCTGGCAGTTTCAAAGGTATACCCTATGCTAACTAAGACATACCGGTAGTGTTAGAATGTGTCGTCATGGAGAACATGTCCAAACCCACCCTTGTTTAGTCAAACTGTATTAATCAGATTGGATTATTTTAAAAATCAGACTTACTCTCTAGGGGAGTGATATCAGTTGATAACCTTACAGCCGTGACAAATGGAGCTGATTGTAGAACAGATGCATACAAGAATGGTACAAGGCACTGTAAAGCACTGACCAAAAGATTTAGTTGACTCTCATCCACGGTAGCACCAGCCACTGCTGATGTATCCTGGAAGGGAAAGATAAATACGAAGTAAAATGTGAGTATTTATTTCTAATCATTGCAACAAGATGATTTATTTCCTCAGAGCACAGCAAACTAGGTCGTCAGTTTTATGACCGCTCTGACTGGGTTCCATTTTCTAATCACTGAATACCACAATCTTGGCAACTACTGGGTGGGAAGCTGATCATATCTCGTTTATGAGAACATATCCCATAATCCCAACAATGCTGTGCAGATCTGCTAATCACTGTGCCACACATGAATGAATGAATGAATGAATGAATGAATGAATGAAGTTTATTTCACTATAAACATATATACATATAATAATATTAAAATAAATGTGATATATAAACAGATGAGTAAATAAAATTAAGTAAATAAGTCTATACTTTGAATTTTAGATATATATATTTTTAGATGTTTATATAAATTGTTTATAGTGAGGATCATGAAAATAGTTCCCTAGAACTAGTCTAGTCCATGACCCTAATAAAGAATGAACAAAATAAACAATAAATAATAATATTAATAAGTCATATACAGGTACATAGTTGTACATTTAAATAATTGAATGGATTAAAAATCTTAAATTAACAAAAGAGATGAAATAAAATAAACTGATTGAAGCATTTTTGTCAATTACTTGGTGAAAAACTTAATCATACAAAGTCAGAATAGTAACAATAAACATTATATATATACAAAAAAACACATATGAAATGAAATTATAGTAGACATTTCGTCGTTTCACTGACTTAGAAGAGCATTTTTTAATTTGGATTTAAATGTGTGTCTGTTCATTTCATTTTTGATTGTGCTAGGAAGGGAATTCCAATGGCGTGTTGCAGTAAATTTAATTTTTTTATGGCATAAAGTTAGATTCATTTTGAGGATATAAAAACTATCAGTCATTGCTAAACGTGTTGCATAATTGTGGGGTATTGGGTCCAGATAATGATTTATTGTATGTGCAAAACGACAATTTTTTAGATCAAAAACAAATAAACATGTTTGTATTTTCTCACACTTATTGGGTCAAAATCTACTCTCAGTTTTTCAATAGATTCTATAGTGGACAGAATTCTGTCATTCTTCAAATGTCTTAACCAAAATTCAAGAAAAAAATAAAATGTTTTGCAGAAAGTGAAAAGTCGACCCTTGGGCTAAAAACTGATGGAAATGAAACAATGTAATATGTTACTGATAATTTGCTGAGCAGGTACATACTGTGGCCTGGTAATGCAATGTAGCTTCCATGGAAAAAAAGTTAGTGGAGTAAACAAGATGACACAAAACATAGGAAAACAAAAGTTTTCTACATACAAACTCTAGAGGGCAATTTACTTTCAACGTTGACTACTGATGACAAAATAAAACCTTTTGTCACACATGTAATTCATTACAATTGCATACCTTGACACATTGTTCGACTTTCTTGACAAACAATGCACACAGATCACTTTCTAGTTTACCAAGTTCAGATGCCCATACAGCAAAAGCAGCCAAGTAAACTTGCTGAGCTGCTTGCACCACAGCATCATTGTTGTCACTCAGGGCAGTTAGTAGCAACTCACAACCCTATGAAAAGAAAAAAATTTTAGTAACATATCCATTCACTGTTATGCTTAAAAAAGGACACAGGATACATGGCAGCAAACACTAAATGTGTGTCTGTGTTTTCAAGCAAAGTGGCCACCTTGCTCGGAGAAAAATAAATTAACAAGACAAAGAATTTAATTTAACGCCCTCTTCAAGATACAAATGAGCCACAATGCAGGGAAAGAACATATTGTGACTCTTGGTGTGTTATATTCTACAAATCAATCAATCAGATTGGGAGATGTTATTAACAGGACATTTACCCCATGCATCTCCTCTCAATAATGGGAATTGATAATTTGGGATAATAATAAAACCCATGTTTTAGTAATTTCAGTAAAATTATCGTACATTGACAGTATACAACTTAATGACTTAGGTCGTTGCTTTACCTGATAATACTTGTCATTGTCATCAATGAATGTTGTGATAATGCCGAGACTTTTAACGACTGCTTCCCTTACAATATCTGTCTTCTCATCAAATAACATTTGTTGTAGCATAGATAGAACCAGTGAACTGCGGATTTCACTCTGCAGAGAACAAATATGTGTGATTACCCAGTGTCTTCCATTCAGCCTTTTAAGCACAGCAGAACTGCTAAGCTTGATATGTTAGTTAGATTGTAACAATTCTTAATATACATTTGTCACTGTATTGCCACTTAAGTTACAGTGTGCCATAATAATGCATTATGGCAACAGAGTATCTGCATCCTACCATATTGGAAATGTGAATTCCAAATAAGGAATGATTACATGATATTTTGAAAACATGACATATTCATATGTTAGTATGCTGAAGAAAACAATGTCAAACCTGAACACCAAAGAGACTGAGAAATTTTATTGATTTACATACAATATGTGAAACCATGTTAATTTATACTTATTCAACAATATAATAAATAAATTTTAGAAAATTCAATCATGGTGTAATGGCCATGTCAAATCATCAACATGGAAAAAGTGTTTGCCATACTGCAGTTGATTACTCACAGGTAGGTAAGGAGCTAATACACCACAGGATTCTGCTACTAAGAGTCGTCTTTCAGCATATCTATGACTAATTTGTTCCCAGCACTGTGGAAGAAGTTCGGCTTCCACTCTTGTTGGTCCCACATGTTTAGCAAATGCAACACACCCCGTCAATATCATGTGCCTGCAAGAAAAAAAAGAAAACAAGTGTTTAGCACAAGATAGTAAAATATGCATAAAGTTCTGAATCAGTTATGGATTATCAGACTTTGTCTCAATGATCCAGCGTCTGGCAAAAATGTTTTTTTTTAAAACTGGGGCTTTTTAAACAAAAAGAGCTTTTCCGTTTTACTGTTGAAAAGAAAACAGTGTTATTAGCTGTGTATGTGCTTACTTAAATGATAGAAGTGAAGCTATGGTGAAAATAGCTTATATAGTAATGAGCCAGCTACAGTGGTCATGTGACAGACAGGGAAATCACTGCATGTAAGTGACTACAGAGGTCATGTGACAGATTGTACAGTTCATGATGTGTACTATACCTTTGTTCCTCGTCTGGTTTTTTAATAAGATTAAATAATATATTGAGTAAATTGTCCCTCTCCTTAGGATCAGGATGTAAACTAACTGTACACAGAATGAGTGGAATCAATTCCTGAAATGAGACAAAAATTTATCATTAAACAGACACAGCATGATTCTGAACGAGAATTCAAGAATTCACTTGTCAATTCATACAACTCATAATATCAACAAATTCATTACAATGCTGTTAATTATGTCTAAAGCTGATCAGAGCTAAAAGCATGCCTCTTGAAGCCAAGAACAAAAATAATATTATAATCACATCATCTGCCTGCGTAAAAGATACAAATTTACATGACAAACTATTTGATGTTAACTTAAGAAATATGTGTAACAAAACAAACACTGAATTTACACATGTTGAATAGTCCTGACATCATCAATGCCAGTGGTTCTCATAACAGGAAGATATTAAACATATGTATAAGTGTATGTGACAATCTACAGACGTAATCACAACAAGTAATTCCAGACTCACCTCTCTTTTTGCTAATAAAACATTGGGTACTATATGAGGCAGGCATCGTGCTAACATCAAGACTACACTCTCATTAGATTCCGCTATTTTTGATACTTCCTGGGCCAGCCTGGTCTCCATTATTTGTGAATATGGAGTACCAAGAAGGGCTTTCTTAAAAGACAGTGACATTCTGGGAAATAAACAAGCCATGCATGGCACAGTCCCCGTTAGTTATCAAATTTAAGATATATAGTTTTGTTTATAGTAATATAGCTGAAATATAACCATGTCAGGAATAAGATTTTTTAACATTAAAATGATTGACATTTGTATCTGATCGTCAAACAAGTACTTGTCCATATTGAGAGATATTGCTCTGGAACAGCATTCAAAATC